CCGTCCAAACGGCGCTCTCGCCTCGGCGCGGGCAGCACACCGCCAGCGTCACCTGCACGCCGTGGCCAGCTTAAGTTTAAGAGCGAATCGTGAGGATGTCTCAGCAGAAACCGGCTTTCTTGGTTCAGATGGGCGGGCTGGACGACATGGGCGAATCAAACGCACGTTCGGGCCTGCGGCGGCCGCCCGGGACGGTCAGGGCACCCACAAGGCGCGCGCTCGCCGTCGACGGCGGGGCGCGGCTGCGGGAGAGCAGCCCGAGGCGAGGAGGCCCTCCCCCCACGAGCGATGCCCTGGCAGATTGGGCCAGTTTGATTGCCGCCAGTTTCCGTCGAACGCGTGCGGATCAAGGGTGCGACGGTGATAACGGATCATTGTGCAGGCAGTTGCACGTCTCGTGGAATCTGTTGCGGCGTTTATTTCCGTGTTTTGCGTCGTGAATTCTTGTTATCCGTGTCGCGCCTCCGTCTACTCACTCCTCCTCCTCCTCCTCCTCCCTCCTTTTCCATATCACGATCAGAATTATCGCGATGTGACAGGCCTCGCACTTGGGCAACACAAGGGGGTGCCGCCAGGGGATAATTAGGACACTTACCGGTTCGTGCCCAGATTGTGGGGATGTCTCCAGCGGTTCGCTTGTTTCACGGATGTAGGCGCGTCTTTTTCAGGGCCGCGTGGTGTTCGCGATGTCGCTACAAACGTTGCTGGGCGCCACAATGGGGAGCGACCACGGGGTGGGACATTTGCCCACTTGCGGTCAGCATTCGGGGATATCTCACGCGAGACGTTGGCTTTTTGAGGTGGGTGTACTTTTTTTCAGGGCCGCCACGAAGGAAGCGAATACTCGGATCAGTCCCGGCAGTCGCCGCGGTACTGGGAAGACCGTCGGATCGATCATTTCGTTGTCGATTTTTTTTGGCGCGTACCGTTCAAACCTTCAGGGTGGCCCAGTGTTGGCAAATTTTGCGCGGTGGTTGCACGACGAAGGTGGGCGCACCATAGAACCCTTCACGACAGCCCATCGTTGTAAAGATTTTCGTCGCGGGGCCTTGGACGCTCTGGGTCGTCTAGGCCTTGGATAGGCGTAGAGTGCGTGAGGGGTGTGCCGAAATCGGGCCCATTGAGCCGTCTTGAGAGGTACGTAGCTGTTTCTTATGTCTTGTTTCGCCGATCGGCGCGGGCCCCCGCTCCCTCCTCCCCAAAGACCAGATCTTGGCTGCTTAAAGCGGTTGCTTCAACCGGGTTGATCAAGCACTGGGGCCCGCCCCCCTCCTCCCCCCGGTGGACACACGAGCTGCTGCTGTACGTGTGTGAGTTGTTTTCTCGAGGCGCCCCCCTGGGAATGAAACAAAGGGTATGTAGGCAGCTGAAGTGGGATCATGCGGAATCCAATTTAGACCTGCGGCCGTCTGTATGTTTCATGGTTGCACGCCGAGTGGAACACGTCCACCGCGTCGACAACGAACATACTTTTTCGCGTTGCATGCCGAGTGGAATTCGTCCACCGCGCCCGCAACAGCTCCTCTGCCGCGTGGAATGTGATTCCATTGTTCCGCCAAAAAGGGTGTGGAAAGGAAAGTGATTGAGAGGGTTTGCTGAGAGGAGAATGCAGGATTAAGGTCGACTGGGGCTCATGGCGTGCATCCGTGGGGGCATAGAGGGATGGTGCGGTTTGCTGATTCATCATGATTGATAGAAGTCTTTCTGCTCTCCGATGCTGCGAACCCTAGACCGTCGCCGCATCTTGCTAGAACCAAAGCGCGCGCGCAGCGCGCGCATGGTTCTAGTATATATATATGTATGTATATGTGTATATATATATATATATATAGAACGCATGCGCGCGGCGCTGAGGCGAGAGGCGCATTTTGGAAGAGGGCCGGCCTCAAATCCGTGGAGCTCGTGCAATTTGTTATGGCGAATGCGCGCGGCGCTAAAGCGAGGGGCTCACGTTGGAACCGAGCCGCCCTCAATGCAACGTTTTTTAGCGATTGCGCGCGGCGCGAAGGCGAAGGCGACGCTGTGAAAGCGAACCGCCCTCAATCCGCGAGGCCCTTGCAACGCTTTTGAGACGAAAGTGCGCGGCGCAAAGGCGAGGGCCACATTTTGAAAACGAACCGCCCTCAACCAATTTTGAAGGCCGTGCAATTTTTGAGTTGAACTCGCGCGTCGTTGCGGCGAGAGCCACATTTTGGAGGCGTGCCGCCCTCGAGCCGTGGAACCCGCGCAACATGTCATAACGAACGCGCGCGGCGCGAAGGCGAGAGCAACATTTTGCAGACGAGCCGTCCTCAATCCGTGAACCTCTTGCAACGTTTTTGAAGCGAGTGCGCGCGGCGCTGGGGCGAGAGCTACATGTTGAGTGCGAGCCAACCCGTGAAGCTCGTGCAATATGTCACATGAATGTGCGCGGCGCTACGGCGAAGGCCGCGTTCGGAAGCGCGCCGCCCTCGAATCGTGAAGCTCTTGCGACGTTTTCAAAGCGAGCACGCGCGGGGCCAAGGCGAGAGCCTCATTTGAAAAACGCGCCGCCCTCAATCCGTGAAGCTCTTGCAACGTCTTTGAAGCGAATGCGCGCGGCGCTCAGAGGAGAGCAACATTTTGGAAACGAGCCGCCTACAACAAACTGTGAAGCCCGTGCATTTGTTTCTAATGCGCGCGTCGCTACGGCGAAAACCACAGTTTGGAAGCGCGCCGCCCTCAATCCGCGGGGCCCGCGCAACATTCCATAGCGAGAATGCGCGGCGCAACGGCGAGAGCAACACTGGGAAATCGAGCCGCCCTCAAGCCGTGAAGCCCTTGCAACGTTTTTGAAGCGAATGCGCGCGGCGCTGAGGCGAGAGCTGCATTTTGAAAGCGCGCCGCCCTCGACCCGTGAAGGTCGTGCAATATTTTTTTTTATATAGGTGTGCGTGCCGCTACGGCGCGAGCCACAGTTTGGAAGCGTGCCGCCCTCGAGCACTGAAGCTCTTACAACGTTTTCAGAGCGAAGGTGCGCGGCGCCAAGGCGAGGGCCTCATTTTGCAGACGAGCCGCCCCCAATCCGCGAAGCTCTTGCAACGTTTTGAAAAGAACGTGCGCGGCGCCTAGGTGAGAGCTACATGTTGAAAACGAACCGCTTTCGACCAACTGCGAAACCCGTGCAATGTTTTATTTGAGTGTGCGCGGTGCCAAGGCGTGAATCGCATTTTGTAAGCGTGCCGCCCCCGAGTCGTGGAGCCCGTGCAAAATTTATAGCGCACATGCGCGGCGCAAAGGCGAGAGCAACATCTTGAAGGTGAGTCGCCCTCAAGCCGTGAAGCCCTGGCAATGTTTTTGAAACGAATGGGCGCGACGCTGAGGCGAGAGCTACATTTTGGAAGCGCGCCGCCCTCAACCCGTGAGGGTCGTGCAATTTGTCATATGGCTGTGCGCGGCGCTGCGGCGCGAGCCACATTTCGGAAGCGTGCTGCCCTCGAGCACTGGAGCTCTTGCGACGTTTTCGAAACGAACGTGCGCGGCGCCAAGGCGAGAGCCTCATTTTGCAGACGAGCCGCCCTCAGTCCGTCGACCCCGTGCACATTTTGTAGCGAATGTGCGCGGCGCTAAAGCGAGAGCTGGATGTTGTAAGCGAGCTGCCTTCAATCCGTGAAGCCCGTGCGCATTCTTTAAAGCGAATGCGCGCGGTGCCCAGGCGAGAGTTACATTTTGCAAGTAAGCCTTTGTCAATCCGTGAAGCTCGCGCAATTGTTTGAAACGAATGTGCGCGGCGCTGAGGCCAGAGCAATATGTTCAAACCGAGCCTGGGGGAAGTGGATTGTTTTTTTGGGGCTGTTTGACATGGTAATAAAGTTGTCGTTCGCCGAAATCCCCCCCTGGATTTTTGTCCGTGCGGTGCTGGCGTTGGGGAGAAGTCGGACGGGACCATCACGAGGATAAATCCGTTCCAGAGCGCCTTGGGGCGCTCTCAGAGCGTTCCGAGACGCTCTGAGAAGGCCGCGACGCCCGCGGGCGTCCGGCGCGCTCTCAGAGCGCTCCAGAGCCGCTAGGTCGCAGAGATTTTGATTAGTCCTCACCCGGACTTGTCCTCGGCCTGGCGTCGTCTTCAAGAGGAGCCCAGCCAGCTGGGATCGCGACCTCGACCCCTCGTCCTGGGACATGCACCAGGCGCTCTCGTCTTATGGCACACTCCTACAAATATCCCAGGTTGACCACCCCTTCGTGGGCGACCGCCCATGGGAGGGGGGCATGGCAACGTCGACTCGCGGCCTTCATGCCGCCGGCCCAAGCCCGAGCCCAGCCGCCGCCCCAGGAGGAGGAGCAGGAGGAGGAGGAGGAGGAGGAGGAGGCGGAGGAGGAGGAGGAGGAGGAGGAGGAGGATGAGGAGGAGGAGGAGGAGGAGCCCAGCGGGGTCCCACCCGTCGGGGGGCGGCCTGGCCGCTGCGTCCGTGGAGAGCCGCGGCCGTGCGGAGTCCGTGAGGCATTGGGGGCGCTGCCCCCTGGTGCGGCACACTCCCAGGAGGCATCAAAAAGCACGGAGCGCCGGCCAGCGGCGCCCAGGTGCGGCGGCCACGAGGGGCGGGGGGGGGGGGGCGGGATGCTGGCGCGCAGGGAAGGCGGGAGGAGGGTCAATGAGGGAGGTCAGAGGAGGACAAGGTACCCATACCAGTACTTTTTCCTCAAGGCGGCCCTCGTCGCAACCGCTTGATCCGCCTCGAAATCCTGGCCAGAACGCACCCTGGAAGATGTCCAGGGAGTAGCGGTATCGGTAGGAGGGGCCCTGGCCTTCAGGGTGGCCGGACTCGAGGAAACGCAGACATGTACTCAGGCGCGTGGATCAGCGACGGGCCCCGCTTCCACACGAGATCGACGTGCTCCGTGGCCAGGCCAGGCGTCACGGGCTTCGTAATCCATGTTAGCATGTGCCCGACGAACCACCACGAACCGCGAACGAGTCGCCGCCCAGCGCCGCTTGCTGCCTCGCCCGCACCCGTTCATCACTGCTTTCACCTGCCCCCCAGGATACATATGGCAAGGCGGCGGACTTGAAGGGCAAGAAGCTGTTCCCCGCTGTCAGTGTGTTCGGCAGGACATTGGGACGAGGAGTGCAAATCATATGAAACAATTCGAGCATGGAGAACGTCTCCTGTCAACCTGCGCAGACTTGAGTTTGCCGAGACTCGGATTTGCCGACGCTTTTTGACGGTCTCATTTTGACGGTCCAGTTCGTGAGATGCTTGCAGTGGGAGCTCGCGCCAATTTTCAGATTAGGTCGTCATGTGTCTGACGGCTCCATCGGGTAAATTTTCGGGGGCCTGGATCAGTACACCAAAGTATTTCGCCCTGGACACTATTTTTTCCTCAACGGCGATGGGTACTGATGCATCTAGGCGAGCCGAGGAAAAGATGAAGGACGCACGGTTGAGGCTCAGCGCTGGCGCCGTTGCGAGAGGGCAGCCAGGCCAGGCAAAAGAGCCTGGAGCATGGTAGAGGATTTTGGTTTTCCTGTTTTTTTGCGTACTCATTTCGTATGTGTTCCATCGGGTTTTGGGGGTGTGCACCAACAGTTTCCTTATGGCCGTTCTGGTGTACCTCTGTGTTTGTTCGAATGATCTCGAGTACACCAAAGATGTGCGTCCCCAGGCAGCTTCTCTTGGTGGCACGCCAGACGACTCCGGGGCCTTGTCGTTAGTCACAAGATATTGTCTTTGTTTGTTCTCGGATACCAGACCCTTGCGAGTCCCCTAGAATCCGAGTTCCCCGAAGCTCGAGTCTTGCGTCACCCGATCCTTCCAAGCCCTTCCCTTTCCGGTCCCCTTCACCTCCTTCCTTGCCTTCCTGCCCTTCCTCTCCGTCTCCATCCTTCCTTAGCCTCCCAGTCTTAGCTGGGGGGAAGGAGGAGGTGGCGGAGGAGGAGGAGGAGGCGGAGGATGAGGAAGAGAATTATCCTGGCGAGGGACCCAACCATGTGCAGTTGTGAGTGACGCAGTTGTGGGTCACGACGCGTGTGACGGGGTGTGCCAAAATTGGCACGGGTACGCCATGCGGACGCTGCCACCAGAGCCGTCGGTGGAGCACCCTATGGGGCCGCGGAACGTGCAAGGGGTGCGCCGAAATGGGGGTGGAACTGCATGCGGACCCTGCCACTGGGGCCTTCGGCGGAGCACCCTATGGGGGCCACGAAACGTGTGAGGGGTGCGCCGAAATGGGGGTGGAACTGCATGCGGACCCTGCCACTAGGGCTTTCGGCGGAGCACCCTGTGGGGCCACGAAACGTGTGAGAGGTGCGCCGAAATGGAAGTGGAACTACATGCGGACCCTGCCACTGGGGCCTTGGGTGGAGCACCCTATGGGGCCGCGAAACGTGTGAGGGGTGTGCCGAAATGGGTGTGGAACTGCATGCGGACCCTGCCACTGGGGCCTTCGGTGCAGCTCCCTATGGGGGCCACGAAACGTGTGAGGGGTGCGCCGAAATGGGGGTGGAACTGCATGCGGACCCTGCCACGGGGGCCTTCGGTGGAGCTCCCTATGGGGGCCACGAAACCTGTGAGGGGTGCGCCGAATGGGGTGGAACTGCATGCGGACCCTGCCACTGGGGCCTTCGGCGGAGCACCTATAGGGGCACGAAACGTGTGAGGGGTGCGCCGAAATGGGGTGGAACTGCATGCGGACCCTGCCACTGGGGCCACCCTGGGGCCACGAAACGTGTGAGGGGTGCGCCGAAATGGGGTGGACTGCATGCGGACCCTGCCACTGGGGCCTTGTGGAGCTCCCTATGGGGCCACGAAACGTGTGAGAGGTGCGCCGAAATGGAGGTGGACTGCATGCGGACCCTGCCACTGGGGCCTTCGGCGGAGCACCCTATATGGGGCCACGAAACGTGTGAGGGGTGGCCGAAAATGAGGGTGGAACTGCATGCGGACCCTGCCACTGCGGCCTTCGGCGGAACACCCTATAGGGGCCACGAAACGTGTGAGGGGTGCGCCGAAATGGGGGTGGAACTGCATGCGGACCCTGCCACTGAGGCCTTCGGCGGAGCACCCTATAGGGGCCACGAAACGTGTGAGGGGTGCGCCGACATGGGGGTGGAACTGCATGCGGACCCTGCCACTAGGGCCTTCGGTGGAGCTCCCTATGAGGGCCACGAAACGTGTGAGGGGTGCGCCGAAATGGAGGTGGAACTGCATGCGGACCCTGCCACTGGGGCTTCGGTGGAGCTCCCTATGGGGCCACGAAACGTGTGAGAGGTGCGCCGAAATGGAGGTGGAACTGCATGCGGACCCTGCCACTGGGGCCTTCGGCGGAACACCCTATGGGGGCCACGAAACGTGTGAGGGGTGCGCCGAAATGGAGGTGGAACTGCATGCGGACCCTGCCACTGGGGCCTTCGGCGGAGCACCCTACGGGGCCACGAAACGCTGTACTCGGTGGGTGAAACGCAGGAAGGAGGGAGATCAGCAGGAGGGAGGGAGGAGAGGAGGAGGAGAAGGACGCGGGGCACCGTCTCTTCAAAACGAGGACCCACCACCACAGGATGGTTGGGAAAAAAGGAGAAGGAGGAGGAGGAGGAGGAGGAGGAGGAGGAGGAGGAGGAGGAGGAGGAGGGAGGAGGAGAGGAGGAGGAGGAGGAGGAGGAGGAGGAGGAGGAGGAGGAGGAGGAGGAGGAGGAGGAGGAGGAGGAGGAGGAGGAGGAGGAGGAGGAGGAGGAGAGGGACAACCAATGTAAACCCAAGACGCGCCACCGCTCTTGCAATCAACACTTACTTCAAGTTCTTTGTTTATAGGTCCCTACGGGAATTTATTTTCAGTGGGTGGAAGAGGCACATGAGAAGACAACCGTCTGAGAATCTAACCGTGACAAATCACCATTCCTGGGACGTCCACGCCGCGGATCAACGTGAATGTTGCGTCCAGACAACCCCTCATAGTGCCAGAGCACAAATTTCTGTGACTTCAGCACCGCGAGCCAACGTAATTAGTTTACCCTGGCGATCCGAAATCATGCCGAACGCAGTTCCTCGGATGGCAACCATGCGATTTCGTTAAGTTGTCGCACGTGGTTTAAACGAACGTGCCTGGCGTCACACTTTCAAAACTACTGCGCGCGGCGCTGAGGCGAGAACCACGGTTTGAAATGGAACAACCCTCCATCTTGCAAAGTTTTCAAACGAATGTCGGCGCTAAGGCGAGAACCACATGTTGAAAGCCACCTGTCCTCCATCTTTGAAATTCTTGCAATGTTAACCAAAAAATAGGGGCGCGCGATGCTAAGGTGATAACCGAACATGAGAACCACCCGCTCTCAATCAGTGAACATGCTGCGACTTTCAAATTTGAGGGTTGGTGAGGAAGTCTCAGGCGAAACGCGTGGCCCGACCGACCAACACGTCTAGGGGTGCGACAGGGGACAGGGAGGAGTTAGTTATTTGGAAATGGATGGAGGAGGAGCAGGAGGAGGAGGAGGAGGAGGAGAAAAAGGCGGAGGAGGAGGCAGAAGGAGGAGGAGGAGGAGGAGGAGGAGGAGGAGGAGGAGGAGAGGCAGGAGGACGCAGAAAAAGGAGGAGGGCGAAGAAAACTGGGCTGAGGATAAGCACGTAGTACAGACCAGCCTGCAGCCGGTAGGGAGGTTGGAGGGGGTCGGGGTTTGGGCGTGAGCCAGCCGGGCGCCAGCTGCATTCGTGCAGCACCCGTGTCTTCACGGCGCGACGAGCTCGTCGCGACAAGGGCCGCACACGCGCCACGACGCCCTCGACGCGAGGCGACCGCCGCCCGCCCGCGGCGGGGGGCCCGCCGTCCACCCTGGGGCGGCCTGGGATCTCGCGCACGTCCTCGCGCGCTCCTCGCGCACCACGGGCACGCACCGTGATTTCCCGGCCGGCTCGACGTCGGGGGAGGCGCTCCCAACCTGAGGCGAGTACGAGTGCGCGCGTGGGTTGGCACCAGGAGCCGACAGGCAGAGAAGACTCATGCTAGCTCGAAGCAGGCTGCCAGTTCTGGCGTAGGTGCGCACGTTTGTTGGCATGCTTTTCAAGCAGCAAGTAATTGCACGGTGCATGTGTGAGCTATGTGGTGCCAGCTATGCGGTGTCAAGTTTGCGGTGTAAGCAATTTGGTGCAAGGTATGCTATGCGGTACAGGCTAAGTGGCGCAAGCTATGTGGTGTAAGCTACGTCGTGCAATACGCTTGATGCCATATACCCGACGCACCCTACGTGTTGAAAGCTATGTGGTGCAAGCTATGTGGTGTAAGCTATGCGGTGGAAACCATGCGATGCAAGCTATGCTGTGCAGCTAGGTGGTGCAAACTACGTGGTGCAAGCTATGCGGGAAAATCAAGGCGGCGGCTTGACGCACGAAGGGGCCCACGAGGCGACCGCGAGGCGTCCACGGGCGAGCACCACGCAGAACCTCGGCACACCCACCCGGCGCACGGTGCGGGCGGGCAGCAGGCGTAAACTCGGCCCGCCCACCCAGCGCGCGGGTCGCCCGTGGGCGGCCACGTGCGGGCATCAAGCGAGACCTCTGCACACCCGCCCAGCGCACGAGACTCCCACGAGGCGGCCACGGGCGGGCACCTGGCGACCAGGCGCCCACAGGGCACCCACGTGGCGGCCACGGGCGCCAAAGAGCTGAGCGCCAGCCGAAACTTGGCATTACTCAACCGAATGCCTTCAGGCACACCGGTAATAGCACCTACGCTTAGGCGCTGCTTGAGGAATACGCGTTTGCGCACACACACATGTGCACATAACACGCGCATACCATGCACAGACATTTACATGTGTACACATTTCAGAATATAAGCGTTCATGCACATACGCATACGTGTATACTGTACACTTCGATATCTGTCTGTGTGTATACATGTGTGTATGTATCTATGCAAGCATGTACACATGTATATGTGCATGCAGGCACATACACGTATGCACACACACATTGTTTTTTCTTTATTTATTTATTTATTTATTTATATATATATATATGTATATACATATATATATATATATATATATATATATATATAATATCTCCGTGCACGAGGCCCCGGGGCCCGGGGCCTGGGGGGGCATGGGAGGAGCGGGGTTTC